AAGGAAGGGTGGTAAAAGAAGAAATATTTACCCCTTAAATCCTTTAATATGAAAAAGTAGACTTTTGATATCCAGAATTCAGAAATACAGTAACTTGAAAGAATTAGCTTTTCTGAAGGAAAATATTAGCTCATTAAAAAAAAATTCTTTGGTCCCAAAAATTCTTTGGAGTCAAGAGGGGAGTCAGTTACTCCTCCCACCCAGTCAGTCGACTGTAGCTGCATGTGGGGGAGGGGCAATGGATATATAAGCCGAGAACTCCTAGCCGCATCTCTCTCCATTTTGTGCGTTGGGAAGTCACAGGCTCTGTATTTGACTGTGGACTTTACAATGCAGCCATAAATGTGGGACGCCCACTCTTCTGTAAGTAAACCCTCACCCTATGCTCTGTTAAAATAATAAATAATAAATCAATAATATTTTTTAATGTAAAAAAAAATAATCCTTTGGTTTGGGCCTCTCTCCCATTGGGCTGTGGGACCCTTTCCTCCTCAGCCAGGGCTAGAGGCCAAGATCAGCCCTTGAGGATCATTGTCAGGACTGCCATGAGTGGGCACCCTTGTTTTACTGCCTCAGACAGCTGAAAAAAAAGAAAAAACTTTAGTTTACAATGGTGATTTAAAAATTATTTGTGGCCCAGGAACATAGTCTTCATATCCTGGAACTCTCTAGTAGACCAGGCTGGCCTTGAACTCACAGAGATCCGCCTGCCTCTGCCTCTGCCTCTGCTGGGACTACAGGCGTGCGCCACCACGCCCGGCTCTATATTTTAAATTTTAGTTTTGTTTAGTGTAATTGTGTTATGTTTAGCACTATACAAAGGAAAGGTCTGTTTTTAACGCAGAATGAAGTGGCCTTAACCCAAGTATCGGTAGTACTTCAAAGCTGTTCTCTGAGCAGATGTATTTGGCACACTGGTTTTCAAAAAATATTTTATTATTTTTATTTTATGTGTATGCAAGTATAGCCTGCATGTAAGCGTACCTGTGTTGTACAATGCCCGAGGAGGACAGAAGAGGGAGTCAGATGCCCTGGAACTGGAGTTATGGACAGTTGTTAGCCACCATGTGGGTGCTGGGATTCAAACCCAGGTCCTCTGCAAGAGCCATCAGTAATCTTAACTGCTGAGCCATGTCTCCAGCCCCAGGAGATCATTCTTGCCTTTTTGAAATAACCTCTCCATGGCATTTGAGCAGATTGTTCTTTTGTTTATAACTTAACAGACTGCACATTTTAGTGCTCCAGTATTTGTTTAAAACTCTGGTGGGTGAGTTAACTGATTTCTGTCTTTTAAGGAAAAGTCACCTGTATCATACATTATTAGAAGTAAGGTCATCATATATATGTATATATAAGTAATAGTTTGTTCATTTAAGTTTTACACCTGTATGACTAAGGTTACTTTTAAAACCTAAGTAAAATGCCCTAATTAACACCTTAATTAAAGCTGGGAACAGGACTGGTGAGATGGCTTAGAGGGTAAAGGTGCTTGCCACACAAGTCACCTGTATCATACATTATTAGAAGTAAGGTCATCATATATATGTATATATAAGTAATAGTTTGTTCATTTAAGTTTTACACCTGTATGACTAAGGTTACTTTTAAAACCTAAGTAAAATGCCCTAATTAACACCTTAATTAAAGCTGGGAACAGGACTGGTGAGATGGCTTAGAGGGTAAAGGTGCTTGCCACACAAGCCTGGTGACCTAAGTTCAATCCCTGGAATCCACATAAAGATTCGAGGACAGAGAGGACTCCACAAATTTGTCCTCTGATAACATGTGTCCACATATACATCATTCACACATACTATGATAATAATAATAATAATAATAATAATAAAAAGCTAAGACTATTTGAGTGGACATTGTAGAAAAATCAAGGAGAAAACATACTTTGTTGGAAAGATCACTGATTAGAAGCTTTAAATTCATATTGTAGAAAGCCCTTGCCTCAATTTATAGATACTTTTTTCCAGTGCTGAGAACTAAATCTAAAGCCTCACTTTAGGCAAGCACTCTACCACTGAATTATGTTCCCAGCCTTTTTGTTTGTTTGGTTTTTCTTTTTTGAACAGTGCCCCACATAGCCCAGGCTGGCCTCAAACTCACTATGTAGGCCAAGGATGTCCTTGAATTCCTGATCCTTCTGTCTCCACCTCTCAGGTACTGAGGTTATAGGCTTGTGCCACCATGCCTGGTGTTTTTATTGGGTTGGTTTGGTTGGTTGGGTTTTTATGTTTGCTTTTTGTTTGTTGGTGTGGTGGTAGTGTGATACTGGTGGTTGTTACCTAGGGCTTTGTAAGCTACAACCCAAACATCACTCTGTGGTCTTAAAGTGTATAATTACCTCACTGCTTTAGATGTTAGATAGTGACAGCAATTTAGATTTTGCCTATTTTCAGAGGACTTTCAGAGGGAGTCATATGAGCTACAAACATCTTTTGTAAACTGCTACATTTATGAAAAGAGTCAATTATTATTATCAGCTTGCTGCATTTTAGGAAAAAAGTTTGAAATTTTATAGATGACAAAAAAGTTAAGTGGGGACTGGAAAGATGATTCAGCACTTAAGAGCACTTGCTGACCCCAAGTTCAGTTCCCAGCATACACTTGGTAGCTCACAGTGGTCTGTAACTCCAGTTCTAGGGGATCTACAGGCACCAGGCATGCACATGGTACACTTACATACATAAAGGCACTCACACGTACACAGCAAATATAAATAAATAAATCTTTTTTTTTTTTTGGTCTTTTTGAGACAGGGTCTCCCTGTAGCCCCAGCTGACCTGGAACTCACTGTGTAGACCAGGATGACCTTGAACTCACAGAGCTCTGCCTGCCTCTGCCTCCCAAACAGGGGTGCACCACCACACCCTTCTCTCTCTTTTTTAAAAACTGGTTTTGAGAGATGTAAGTGGGGCTTTGTGTTTTACGTTACTAGGGATAAGGATTCTTGGCCCATCCTCTTTGCTTATTTATTTATCTATTTAGTTTTTTGTTCATTTAGTATGTGCCTAAAACGTATTTGAGAGCGAGTATGGGAAACATTTGAGGATAGATTGTTGGTATGGCCGTTTATGACAGTATTAAAAATGGGTTTTTGGTTCTTTTCCCATTCGCCACCCTCAGTTCTTTAATGCTTTCTGTGTACATGTTCTCGTGTGCTTGTGTTTGCTGTATTTACTGGTTAATTGTAATGATTTTGATCCAGGGAAAAGAGCCATCAACAAATTGGATTCTTCTGATCCCTTTAAACCGAATGATCCATTTCAGCCTTTCCCAGGCAATGATAGCCCCAAAGAAAAAGATCCTGATATGTTTTGTGATCCATTCACTTCTACTACTACTACCAATAACGAGGCTGAGCCAAGCAATTTTGCTAACTTCAGTGCTGTAAGTACTGTGAATGGGCTGTTTGGGGGAAAATCTTTCCATTTATAGTTTGAAGATCTTTCAGAGATTTCTTTGTAGTTTGCCAAATTTGCATCATTTCAACTAAATTTACCAACATACTAAAAATTATCTTTTATTCTTCCCCCGAGCAAAACCTGTTTGAATTTGTTCTGATGGTTCTAAAATTGTTCCATTGCTCAATTCATTTTAGTAGTTTTAGTTCTTATACTATACAAGTTGTTTTACAGATGCTTCTTTTAGTCATGGTAATATCAGTGTAAGTAAAGTCTTGACACTTATCATTTTGCAGATGGCTATGTAGGATGGTGATTTAATAGTTTGCCCACTAGATGAATAATGCCAGTAATAAGCTTGTGTATTTGTAACTGTGTATGTGTGTACAAAGCTTTAAGGATTTCTAGAAACCAGTCAGCAATTTGTATGAGGGGCAATGCCAGGGTTTCTTTGAATAGAAAGCAAAGCTCTTTCCTCTCACATAGTAGTTTTCATTGTTTGGTGGTGGTGGTTCTTTTTCTCTGTTTTAGTTTTATAAAACAACTCTGAACCTGTGAACCCACTTCTTAGGGACTCTAGTGTGGAGAAGTGCTGTGGAGATGCCATGCAGTTCATCATTGTTAGAGAAAGCCAAAAGATGGGTTTTGTTTCTGGGTTTTGTTTGTTTTGTTTTGAGATAGGGTTTCACTTTGTAGCTCTGGTTGTAGACTAGACTGCCTCTGACTCCTGAGTGCTGGGATTAAAGGTGTGAGCCACCATACCTGACCTTTAATGGCCTTCTTAGGTGTGGCTAACAAAATTCCTTTTCCCCCAGATTTTTTTTTTACCTAGTTTCAGGCAAAGTGACATTCACTACCTATACTGTAATGGGAATTCTCCATTTTATTACCTTTTGTTCTTGATTTTGGAGATGAGAGATCTAATGGCCAGATCTGGCCACAACCTGCTTAATGTTTTCCTACTCGGTGTATCACTGAGTCATTCATTTGGTTGTTTTATCCCTGCCACTCTGCCTAGTGAGAAAACAGGTAGGCAGGAATCTGTATGCAACTAAGGCAGTTGTTAAAACCCACCTTCTGAATCTCTACTCTTTAAGTTCTAGTGGCTTCTCCTGAATGAGAAGGAACAGAATAGAAAGCAACGTTTTGAATACTGAAAAAAATGACATTTCAGAGTTATCTCTGTGCACATTTCATTTCAGGCAGAGTTTGAGTTGTTTCAAGCAGAGAATGGAAAATTGACTCTGAGGCGATTGTAATTCTTTTAGTATAAAATAACACTTTGGCAGTTTATAACATTCATTATGTTAAATATGGTTTCAGCAGTCAAAACCTGGTTGGACTGAGTCTTGAATGATAGCTGAGGCATTTTGCTTATTCCAATCCCCAGACTCTCAGTACAGTGTGATATAAAGTGGTTCACAATAAAATCCTGTTTTTCATTGTGAAAGATGTGTGATTCACAGATCCATTTTCATAAAGTGTCTCACTATGTAGCCCTGGCTGGCCTGGAACTCTATGTAGATCACGCTGGCCTTGAACTCACAGAGCTCTACCTGCCTCTGCCTCCCCAGTGCTGGGATCAAAGGTGTGCGCTACCATGCTTAGCCTTCAAAATCCTTTTTAGATAGTATTTGGTTCATCTAATACTCATATCATATGTGGCAAAATCTCACTGCTTTATAGTTTTTCTGTATTCTGAAAGGCTAAGTAAGGCAGAAAATTACAAGTGGCATTCATTTTAGCATTTTGTCAGCCAGACATTGTACCCATAAGCTGCCATCCTACCACCAGGAAACGGGTGGAGGCTGGAGGATCATGAGTTTGAGGCTAGCCTGAGCTTTATCCCGAGACCCTATCTAAAACAAAACAAATCAGCATATGAAGAGTGATCACTAAAGTTTAGACATTTTACACTAGGTGGAAGGGCTAGACTTCTGTGTTTAAATTACCTTCTCTACCTTAAGCGCTTCTCCTTTTTTTGAGACAGAACCTCACTAGGTCCCAGATTGCCAGATTGGCCTCTCATTTGCAATTGTCCTGCCCCGTCCTCCCAAGTACTGGGACTACAGGCATGTGCCACTATGCCTATAACTTCTACTTTCTTTAAAAAATATTTTACTTTTTTTATTTTTATGTGTTTGGAGTTACAGACAGCTGTTAGCCGCCATGTGGGTGTTGGGAATCAAACCTGAATCCTCTGCAAGAGCAGTCAGTGCTCAGCTCAGCCTCCTGCTTCTCCTTTTTTAAGTGATACTTTTTTTTTTTTTTTTTTTTTTTTTTTTTTTTTTTTTTTTTTGAGACAGGGTCTCTGTGTAGTCCCAGCTGTCCTAGAACTCACTATGTAGACCAGGCTGGCTTCGATCTCACAGAGATCCAACTGCCTCTGCTTCCCGAGTGCTCAGACTAAAGGCATGTGCCACCACACTCAGAAGATTGCATTAATTTTTTAAAAAATTAGACCACCTTCAGTATGTAGGTAAACCATACTCTCAGAAACAAAGAGCAAATAAGAAAATTCCCAGAGTCCTTCAGGTAAAATAAATAGCTAATGTTCTTTTATAAACTGTTTGTACTTCTTTTCATTTTTTTTTTATTCATTTGTTCTTTTGGATGGCAGTATCCCTCTGAAGAGGATATGATTGAATGGGCCAAGAGGGAAAGTGAAAGAGAGGAAGAACAGAGGCTTGCCCGACTGAACCAGCAAGAACAAGAAGACTTGGAACTGGCTATTGCACTTAGCAAATCAGAGATATCAGAAGCATGAAGTTTGTCCTTGTCAACAATACAATACTCCTTCCTGAATACTGAAGCTATTTACCATGTGTATCAAAACTACCTGTGAGCATGGGGATACAAAAGTTTTGAGATTCCTATAAATGTGACAGAAGTCTAGTTTGTTGTTGTTATTGTTGTTTAAAAAAAAATATTTCAAATAGGTCTTATTTTTTCTTCCAAAAGCAGTACCTGATCAGACAGCTTCCCCTGGCCCCTGTTCCAGTGTGCGTCCACAGTGAGCTCTTGCCTGCTTATGCTGCTTTTACCCGTGAAGCTAGAGCACCCAAGCTTCTGCCTTCTAGAATCTGAAAGACGTAGTTTCACCCTGTGCTGCCCTTATTCTGTAGTTGTTATGATAAGTCATTGGTGTTCTTAAAATCTGCAGGTAGTTTTCCCCTAATTGAATGACTTAAGGGGAGGGGAAGGGAAAGAACGTTCTATTTCTTTTATGATTGGTATAAATTGGCTAGTTTAAAGTACATTTTCATATGTCCTTAACAAAGAAAATGTAATTTGTTTTTTCACAGACAAGGAAAGATATTTGCATAGATCAACTCCACTATGGAAAAAGGGATACATTAGGTTGACTCATTATAGCTTCAGACTCAAGTAATTTCTAAATAAAAATATTAAATAGATTTTTAAAAACAATTTTCTCTGGACCTAAATAATTTTAAGATCAACAGGTACCTCACCACATGTTTGCTAATCAACAAAAACAGTTTCTTACAAATAAAATTTTAAGGAATGTTCATTTTAAGTGCCACATGTTAGAAAAAAAATTAGAACTTAAAATATAACACGTCTTTGTAGAAACTTAACGCGCACCCAGTCTGCCTTTGCTTGCTGAACTGCTGTCCTTTAGTTCATGAGAGGTGTGTTCTTGAACTTTGACAGGAGAAACTCCAGGAAGTTAGAATTGGCAGATACTTTGGTTTTTCACTATTTGTTCTGTTTTCTTTAACGAAGGCCCAGCTACTTGAAATGCCAACCCTTCCACTGACTGCAAGTGGAAGAACGTATCTAGTGTTTTTTGTCCGTCTTTGTAGTTTAAATTAGTTTATTTATGCAGCTCATGGTTTTCTCCTATAAAATTGGCAACCTAGCAAAAAAAAAATCTTTTTAAACTGAAAAAAAAAGGACCTGCCAAATTATAAGAACTCTTCCTTTGTTAAAAGCCCATCTTCTTTTAAACTAGCAGTTGAATTTGAAATAGACTATGAAGTAGACTGTAAATTGTAATCTTTTTTTTTAACTTGAGTTACTGATTTAGATAGCATTTTCAATACCAAGATAAAAATGCACCCACAAACCAATTCTCTGGGTTACCAAGTCAAGGTGGTATTGAGCTGTATTAGTCAGAGTAACTTACTGCCTGGCCTACAAATAAATCCCACAGTGTCTAAATCAGTTCATCTTGAAATGGTGCTTTCTTTCTTTCCACACACTATCGAATGGCTGGAATTTAAAGCAAATCTAAACCATGTTCTTGCACTGCTAACTTTTTTCTACTTTTGTAAATAGAAATATTTCAGCATAAAAGTCATACATATGAAGCAAGGGCTGAATCATAATCACAGGCTTTAGTTTTGATAAACTAATCCAGTGACCTAAGTATTGTTTGCAAAAGTTCCTTGAGAAGGTAGTGTTAGGAGTTGTACTAGATGGTCTTTTCTGTTTCTTTTCCCCCTTTCTTCCCCTTACTCTTCAGGAAAAAGGTAAGTTGACTTGAATAACCTTCTTCTGCACTGAGAAAATGAACAAGTGTTTGAAATGCTTTAAAATTTTTTAATTAAAAAAATTCTGGAAAATATTAAATATCTGTAACTTATAAACACCAACTTTTGATGTAATAAGTGCACCCAAATCTTATGTATGTTTAACTGGATTATATAGATTCTTATCTTTTTGTTAAGATATGTATACTTAATGGACCAATATAATATAAAATATGTACATATTATATAAATATGTCTCCTTGCTTGCTCATGTAGGATGGCTGTCTTAAGAGCCGTTCGTTATGTTCTGTGGTATTAGACCCCGGCCCCAGAGCCTGGACGACGTTCTAACCATCTTTTACCTGCTCACTCAGCTTCACCTGAGCACTCTTCATAGGATTTTTTCATGTTTCAAACTTATAAGTTACAGTCTGTAATTATGAGAATAATAGATTTTAAGAAATAAAAGGGTATACTACATATCTATTTTGTGTTAGACTTTAAACTGTTCTCTGATTGTGTGCAGGAAGGGCAGGTGGGCAGTTTTTAGTTATTTTCTCCTGTTTTGTGAGAAAAATTAGGGAATGTATCTGCATAGAGCATCTGAAGCATATGATGTGGACTCTGAAAGACACTACGATCCAGTAGATTCAGACTTTTCCTGGGCTTGAATCTCTGGTCTTCCATTTTAAGATTTATTTTTATTTTATATGTATGGGTGTTTTGCCTGCATGTATGTATGTGTACTACATGTCTGCCTGATGCCTGTAGAAGGCGGAAGAGGGCATTGGCTTCCCCTGGAACTGTAGTTATGAATGGTTGTGAGCCACCATCTGAGTGCTGGGAACTGAACCCAGGTCCTTTGCAACTACTGAGTCATCTCTCCAGACCTCTTCTGCCATTTTTGAGAAAGTTTCCTGAGTCTTTGAACTTCATTTTTCTCATATAATGAATATTGTAATACATAACTCATATAATTGGCCTATAGGATTTGACATTAGCAAATTTTCTTTCTTTTTGAGATAAAGGTTTTGTTATGTCAGGCTAAGCTTCAACAATGTGAACCACTACAGACATGCAATATCCCACCAGTCTACTTCAAATTCAGCTGTCTGCTAGTTTAATGGAAAATGAGCCTTTTTTTTTTTTTCTGTCTTTTTGAGACAGGGTCTCCCTGTAGCCCCAGCTAGCCTGGAACTCACTCTGTAGACCAGGCTGGCCTGGAACTCACAGAGATCCACCTGCCTCTGCCTCCCCTGTCCTGGGATTAAAGGTGTGTGCCACCATGCCTGGAAGAAAATGAGCTTTTAACAGAGGAAAAATTCTGATAATTTGACAGATCTTTTTTTTCCCTCTCATTTTAAAAACAAGATTTTTTTTCTAGCTTGCTACAACATGAGGATGTGGTGGTGCGCCTTTAATTCCAGCACTCAGGAGGAAGAGGCAGGTGGTCCTCTGAGATCAAGGCCAGTCTGGTCTATATAGCATGTTCCTGGCCAGCTGGGACTACAGGGAGGCTGTCTTAAAACAAACAAGACAAACAAAACCTTAGAGCAATGTGCTTCAGCTTATATAGCTAAGAAATGGATGAACGGGAACTAAATTCTGATCTCTGATTCTAAACATGGCAATGGATGCAGTTTGCATACTTTGTTTCATTTTGTGTGGAAAAATATTGCGTAAAAGAAATGGTAGGAGCAGGAGATGGTAAACATCTAACCCTGATCCTAAGTGTTTTACATATATTAGTCCGTTCAGTTCTCACACTGTAAACCTGAAAGGTACAGTTACTCTGTCCATGTTGCAGAAATGCCCAAACAAGAACCCAGGAAACTGGCTCGAGTTAACTGCCGCTCACTCTTCTTCAAGAATCCAGAGTAGAAATACCACAAAGTAATCCATCTGGTCACTCTGAAGTACTAATGGAAAAACCCTACTACATTGCATCTAATATGTTTCAAAACATTTTCCAAGGCTGGGGGTGGTGGCAGGGTGGTGGCACACTCCTTTAATCCCAGCATTTAGGAAGCAAAGGCGGGTGGGTCTCTATGAGTTTAAGGCCAGCCTGGCCTACATAGAGAGTTCTAGACTAGCCAGAGCTGCATAGTGAGACCCTGTCTAAAAACAAAAATCAGTCATTCAGGGGCTGAAGAGATGGCTAATGGTTATAAGTATTTGCTACTCTTGCAGCATACTAGAGTTGAATTCCCAGTACCTGCATCAGTTGTCTCTTAACTGCTTGTAATTCTAGCCCCATGGAATCCAACACCCTCTCTGGCCTCCTCAGGCACCTACACTCACATTCACAGACACACACACACACACACACACACACACACACGTAATTTAAAAACAAAATCTTTTTTTTTTAATTGTCTAATTCATTACCTTAACTCAAGTGAGTTGACACAGGAGAGCTCTGTTGGTAATTGTTATTCCATAAGTATATGGCAGAGAGGGCCAGCCTTGCTTTCTATTAAAGAAATACAAAACTAAGCAGATGCTGGTTTATGCCTATAAGCCTAGCAGAAATAAAAAAGTGACTTACCAGTGATGACAAGGCTCTAGAAAGAAGACATGAGAAGTAGAGGGGCTGGGGATGCAGTTCTTGCCAAGAATGCATGAAGCCCTGAGTTCAAGTCCTAGCACCACATAAACTGGCCAAGGTGTCACACCTGTAATCCCAGTACTTGAGAAGGTGGAGGTAGGAGGATCAGAAGTTGAAGGTCATTCTTAGCTACATAGGGAGTTCCAGTCCAGCTACATGAACCCTAACCCCTGAAAAAGAGGAAGGTAGAAACTAAATTTTTAAGAGTTTTAGGTATCCCAGTGTGACCAGACTTTAGGTTTATGAGGGAGAATGAGTTGTCATGCTTGTGTGTAAGATCTCCTCTTTAGGAGAAATATTAAGTAGGGAGGTCAGGCTAAGAGGAGAATGAAATTGAAATTATCAAGTTATAGGGTCTGAATAGACAAATTGAATTTAGTAAGTCATGGGTAATAAAAGGGAAGGGGTACCTCAATCTCAACATCTGGAGGGCTTATTAAAATAGATTGCTGGGGTTGGCAAGGTGGCCCAATCCTTTCGTCCCAGCACTCAGGAGGCAAATGGAGGCCAGCCTCGTCTACAAAGTGAGTTCCAGGCCAGCTAGGGAGATCCCCTCTCAAACAAACATTGCTGAACCCTACCTCAGTCTAGCCGAGGCCACAGTGTTTGATGTGTGTTTGAAAGATCAGAAGTCTCCCAAGAGGCTTTACTTAGGTGGTGTTCATTACTTTAGTGATGAGTTACTTAAACCTGGCTAAGGTCTGACCTTTCTTTAGAAACATGACTTTCAGCAATAAAAGAAAGTCAGCTTCTATTAAGTTCACAGTTACCAGTTTCACTGGTAAAGACCAGACTATCACTTTCTAGTAGTCTTGGAGCTTTTCCCACAGCTGACTGTGCTCAGGCTCCCCTTGATCTCAGCTGCCTGGGCCTCTGGCATGGTTTTCTAGCTTAATCAGGTTGTAGTCTGGTTTGGCTGGTTGGGTGACTATATGTCTTTTGGGGGTGGCTTTGCATACCTTTGCTTTGATTCATTGTAAAATTTTCAGTATGTTTAAAGTATTTTAAAGCTCAGGAAATAAAATTTGTCATTAAATATTTGTTGGGTCACAGGTGCTTTGGAAACTGAGACAGGAGGATTGTTGAGTCCAGGAACTTGTGTCTTCCCCAAGCAACTGTGACACCCTATGCAAATTAATAGACCACTAATTCTGGTCTGTTTCCTAGCTCTATCAGGTAGAGTAAGTCTCTTAACCTCCCTGACCACAGTGAGAATAACACTTTCATCACAGGACTGTTGGATTAATGATTATTGATTCGAAGTCTTGGCTCCTATTCTAGCACAGATGTCATGCCCATTTTTAAGAAGATAGAAAAGGGGCCAGCAAGATGGCTCAGCAGGTAAAGGCACTTATCACTAAACTTGGACAACCAGGTTCCACCCCCCAGGACACACATGGTGGAGGGAAAGAACCAACTCCCACAGATTGTCCTCTGACTTCCACAGTATGCAGTGGTATATTCGTGCATGTGCATGTGTGCACACCACACACATAAATCTTAAATTGGGCGGGCAGTTGAGACAGGATCTCACTACATAGCCCTGAGTGGCCTGGAACTCACTATGTGGACCAGGTTGGCCTGATTCACAGAGATCACCTGCCTCTGCTTTCAAGTGCTGAGATTAGTGTGTGCCACCACACCCATTTTAATATTCAAATAATTTTAAAAAATACCTAGTGCTGAATGCTGTGAGAAAGACAAAAGTAGCCTCTGAAGAGAAAACACCAAGGAGAGCCTGAAGGGCTTCCTAGAGAAGGTGGTGTTGACTGTGGGCAAAGAGACTAGGTTGTTCTTAACTGGAATTTCCTGATCGGGAAGCCCTTGTTTATCTCTCTGAGCCCTGACATGACTGCTCGGAGAAAGGGAAATGCCACCTCTTCTCTGCATACAAGGGCCAAGGGAGAGACTGCCCAGATAGATGGTCCTTTGGGGGCACTTCCCATGTGTGCCATGGCCTGTGGATCACAGGCAGGATGGGATGCCATGGGGCAGACAGGGATTTGAGACCTGGTTTTAGGAACAACTTGGTCTCTGGAAGTTAACCCTTCTGAACCTCAGGTTCCATCACCTGTACAATGGAGATGATATTTAGTAAGATGAATTTGTACAAAATTCAGGACTCAGGTTAGCATGTTGAAAATAACTGAATCAGAAGACAGTTACCATTTTTTGGACACAGGCACCTAAGGAGATGGAAACACTCTTAGCCACCTTGCCCTTGTATGTATTCAACCCCCACTTGTCAGAAGAGGTGTCTCCAGAAGGGCTTGAATCGGCTCCCCGACATCCTTTCAAACACCTTAAGGAGCTCCCCTGCCTCTTGTCCTTAGCTGATCTTCCCACAGGTGCCTCCTGGGCTACACTGGTGGGTGCCAGGACCCATTCCTCTTGTTGGTGGTGATTTAAAAAAGGCAGAAATACACATGACCCAAGTTTGTACTGAAAACAGGCCTTGGCTTGTTCACCCCATCCCGACTCCCAGAAGCCTAGGGATCCGGAGTCTAAACTGAGTCACGTCCTGGTGCCAGGCCTGGCTTGGCCTGCAACCTTCACCCTCGGGCCCAGGCAGCCACTTCCCCATCTCCCTAGCCCCTGCAGTCCCCTCAGACTCCTGCTCAGTGCCTGGCTCCAGACCAGTTCTCGAAGCCTTCAACCCCATTCGGCACAGGCAGCCCTGGCAAGGCTGGAGATTGCGGGTGGGAGAGTGAAGGGGCGGGTGGAACCCCCTCGTAGACCCTGGAAAGGCCCTCACACGGTGTGCAGCGGGGGCTGCGGGCCCACTCGGTGCCCAGCGGTGGTCTGGCCCGCTCCGGACGTCCTCTGGTTCTGGATGCGGTGGACTTCGCACAGGGAGGCGCCGGCCAGGGCAGG